GGTAAATACACGAATTCGTTTCAAATTACAAAAAGCTGAAGACATATAGAAATACTAGATTTCTGTCTATCGAGTAAAATGATTGAAAAAAGACGAACCAGGAGATAATTCTCAAGGACTGGGCGCTAGATTTGGGAAGTCGACAGTGCTCTGCGAGATTGACCGAAACTGAACCCATAAGACAATAAGCATCATCTCGTGGCACGAAGCGGGCTTTTTTGAAATGAAAACAAAGGTAGGGGAAAAGAGAACCCAAGTCAACGGAAAACACAAGCAATCAGGATCAGAGAACCTCAACGAAGTACTTGATATGCTAGGAAAAAAACTACGATAGTACTGAAAATTTTCCTGGTTCAATCGGAAACCTTCCTTAATTGATACATTTGAAAAAATATATGATGAATCTGACGGAAATGATGGCAAACTCAGTTCAGAAAGAGAAAAATTATATCAAAATTACTGAAGTGTTAATTAGAATCAGGTGTCTTGAAAAGTCCTCGAATGATCGATTGATTGCAGATGGATTGTTTGTAAAGAAACAAAGTTTGAACAAAAATTTAAATTTGTCACAAAATTTGGGCTACTTTTTTTCAAAAAATTAAACTGTTTTACATTTTTTTTGGAAATTTAGCTAAAAAAATCTAATGAAAATATTTCTATTTTGAGTATTAGCTTTGATTTCATGGAATTAGTTGGCAAAAAAATCCGACTGCTTCGATATGAAATATATATTTTTTTGAAATTCCGGAAACAATTACAATTTTTTGCGGCTATACTAGAACAACTTTTGTTTGATTATCCAATAATTTTTTTGGCTGTCCAGCAACGTAAAAATTTTTCGGCTATGTTGTAAAAAACCAAACGAGAGCATTAATAAATAAGTGTCTTGAGATGGCTCAGAGGCGCAGACGCCAAAAAAATGTTAAAACCTCATTTTACATCCAAACTTTGTCAAATGTTTGTTTCTGTCGCAGAAAATATTGCCAGAAAAAAAAGTTTTTACAGGTTCCGCAACAAGCCAAAATCAGATTTGTCGAGGAATCCGAATCCGCAACTCTGCTAGTTTTGTTTCATCATTCTTTCGATTCTCTTTTCGTTTTTCATGGCACCTTTCACCCCAATCATCTCATTTCAAATACTGATGATTTAAACTCACTCTAAACCCACTTCATTCCCAAATAAAAATTTTATTCGGCGATTGTTCCCAAATCGAGACCGAAAAATTAGCTAGCTGGGAAGCTTCATCAAATACTAAACAGTGACATACATTGATGTAATTAACCAATGTTCTAAGATTTTTTTTCTTGGATTCCGCTGACAATGGTTATATAATTTGGAATTCCGCATTGCTGGACAATCATTTCAACTCTTGTTTATAATTGTTCATATGCAACAATTGGTTTAGTTATTTTTTCAGCAAGTTTGTCAGCGTGGAGTGAATCATATTTTCGGCTAGCCGAGAACAAAAAAAAACTTCCGACTTTGCGGGAACGAATAGATTTTTTGGCCACCCGGTAACGAACTTGTTTTTCGGCTACCCTGGTGTTTGGCTCCGCGACACGCCAACGGCGAAGGCTATTTTCTGGTTATTAGTCCTCATTTGCTACTAAAAATTACCAAAAATTGCCGCGTAATCTCCACTTTTGCTTTAAAAATGTGTTCTTTTTTGATCTTGATCGATTTGATAAGACATTACCAAACACAATATACATAGGAGGGTCGATTTAGGCTAGTTCATGCTGCTTGAAACCATTTTGCAATCATCACCCAATAAACGAGCTCACAAAAAAAGATCTTTGTCTAACACAATTTGATCATACAGAAATAACTAATATAAAAGCTCTACATCAATTCATTTAGATTAAGGGCGTATTTAGATTACGGTTAAAAGAAAACGAATATTTTTTTTGTGCAGGTATTTAAAGTTATCTATAATTAGGAAAACCCAAAAAACATTTCAACGCATTTCAGCAAAAATTTTGGCATACTTGGCATTAAAAAGAGATAAGTTTGGTTTTTAGCTTAATATTTTTCTAAAATGTTTATCGTTAAGTTTGATGCTACGTATCTGGGCAGAAAACCCGAAATAATTGCTTTCAGTTTCCGATTATGATTTTTTATGTAATACAGAAATAGCACTCAAACAGTAAAAGGAAGTGACAAATCTATACATATGAAAAAGTTTGTGTGTATGTGTGCTTGTGTTACCCAAACTCCTTCTAGTGTTATGATTGTAGAACGGTAAAGCTTTACAAGTATGCTGCGTATAATTATGAGGAACCCTATGGGGTTTTTCCAGACTTCGTCGAAATTTTTTGAAAAAGGAAGAGGGACAGAAATTTCGAACTTAATTATTCAAGTTTCTTTTGAAAATATGTTTCAAAAGATGGCTGAAAATAAGCATCCGCTTCTCAAATGACTTCTATTTCCTTTGCATACTCACATTTTAAATATTTTTCAAACAGATACTAATTTTGAATAAAATATTTGAGAAACCCCTACCTTTCTAAACTACGAGCCCGGGCGCTTAATTCAATTCGTTAAAATGTAAAAAAAATCAATGTTACTGATACTTTTCCCCCACGACGATTAGATAAGTTTTAGATTCCTGTCACACAGGAAAACACTTTTTCAACTGTACTTTTCTCCCGTAATCAGAACCATTTTCAATCATTTTTTTGTTTAACTAAATATTCAATCTCGTTTTGTTGTTCGACTTTTTGAAAAATGGAGAGAAACTTTGTATTCGGGTGTGCTTAACTTTTTTCTTTTTGTTTTCCACTAAAAATCAGCTATCACAAATAATCATCAGAGAGAGTTGAGGGATACACCAGTTTAAAGCCTTTTCAATCGTAATTCGAACGGCTTTAAAAACATTTCGAAACAACATTTCTGGCGTCGAGAAAAACCGGCTTGAAATTTTTGATTTTTAAGCATGCCTGCAACCACGCAGAAAAAAACGGCAATAATTAAAATTAAAGTTTGAAAGTTTGTTGTAGTTTTTTCTACGATTATGGTCAGACATGCACAGTAACAGGCTATCCTTGTTTGTATTCCGACATGATTTACAAACTACGAAGGATTACAACACTTACCCTGCGCAATATCAGCCCTTACCTACCTTGCGCAATATCTTCACCTGACGTTCATTCATTCATGCAGTTTAATGTAATGACATAAAACTGATTTCATACGAACTGGTTACAAAACGCAAAACAAATTGGTCCAATAAAATTACTCACAGAATTAGGTTTTGCGATATAGTTTTGAAGTTTGTTTGATAAATAACAGCATTGATTTTAACTGCACTTAGAATTTATTTTTCTTGGACAATGATTGATTTAAAAATTAAACATAACACAGAGGCAAAACACTGAGCTTCGCATCATTTGCAATGCAAGGCAAGCCAATCCTTGCAAACTAGCTAACAAAAAATGAAGCGGAAAAAAAACAAAAAAAGAAAAATCTTCAGAATAATGGTCAAAAAACTCAAAAACTAGGTCTTCATTTTTTCAACGAGTGCTCAATGAGCCGAGAATGCGTTCATCGAGCCAAAAACAGCCACCCACTCTAAACAACTCATTGAGCCGAAAACAAAAAAAACCATAGAAAAAAAATTGTTGACAAAAAATTGAGCTATAAAATTTTAAGACTTTCAACTTCTGTAAGAAAAATAAACGAATTTTTATTCAATCATTGTTTCTCTAGAAGCGACTAAAAAATCAGGCTAACAAGCCTACAAAACATAAGCTAAAAACATTTAGGCCGAACGAAGCTTTTAAGCGAATTTTAAAAAAAACGTACAATATCGGGGCTGTTTTTAAAAATTACAAAAATATGTCAAAGCCGCACAATAAAAATCTATAATGTGACAACTAAACCTAAAAACCTTTGCAAACAAACAAAAAACCGTTAATTTAACTGTTTAACTTTTCCCGAAAAGTTTTCCAGAGTTTTATACATGCTCAAAAAAAATGTCCGGCCGGGACTCAAACTCCTGACCTCAGGGTACCGCTACAATTGCGTTGCCTCCAAGCCAATTAAGAAGCAGTCTCGAAGTTCTTAAGGTTCACTTATAAAGTAACTTCTTTTTCAATTTCAGATTTAAGAAAAATTGTTTACGGGTAAAGAAGTCCAGTTCCCGATTACAAGACACTTGCTTTCCCAAATGTAATAATAGCCAATTTTTTGTAAAAATAGAACGATTCTAAGCTTTAAGTTAATAAAATTTATACATGGAGATGTCTACATACTTTTTTCCCCACTGTTTTCATCTTGAAGACCAGTACACTTGAGTAAAAAACTTAATTTTGAAAAGCAAAAACTTATTGTGAACAAAACCACCAGTAAAGGTTTTTCAAAGCAATTGTTGAAGTGGGGTTCCAAATTTGGCAAATTAGTCCATAGAAATAATTCATGTGATTCCAGGTTTCTACTTATATTCGTTTCAGAAATTTTCTTAGACACGGTAAAAGGCAGTCAGAACATCCAGTTTTTTGCGAGAAATTTTGTTGTTCCGACTATTTCACTAAGACAGTGAAAAGTAACTATGGCTTAGTGTGTTCCCCTCCCAGAATCACATTGCAAACATAAAAGTCAAATGGGTTTGGGTGATATATCGTAATGAAATGTTGTCGGTCAGTAATTAGAAATTTATTTTAGAAAGTTGACTCGGTGTCGATAAAACTGATCTGAATAGTTTTCAGAATAAATTACCGCTAGGAACGGATGAGCAGAAGGAGAAAACTGATTTTACAGCATTACCTTACATATGGTTGCGATATTTTGAAAAAAAAACTAAGCATTTTGAGTTCTTCTCAATTAACAAGGAAAGCGACAAAATATTTAAGAAAATCGTTTCTTTTTTAAAATAAAATTTTCATTTCTTCAGTTTCTTATACCCGTTGTACAGGTTTTTATTTTATTTATAAGTTTCTTATACCCGTTGTACAGGTTTTTATTTAAAATAGGACTGACATATAACTAAATCTCTTAAACACTTCAAAAAATGAAGAGGTCAACTAAAAACCTGGATCGATTTTTGACTTTCAATATAAAGCTGTTGATAAAAAGTTCATGAATCCGTTATTCGTCGAGCTGATCTCTTTCTCGGCGGCGGGCTGAACATTTTTATTTGGTGTTGTGAAATTGCAACTGTTCATATAGGAGGGCACGTGATCAAATGTTGGTTGGTTGTAGTTGAAAAATACGTTGTTGTGAGTTGGTTGTATGTTGTAAATATTGAAGTTGTTGGTTTGTTGGATAGATTGCATGTGGTTGGACTGGAAATGAGCAATCTGATTGTCCCGCTGTTGTTGGTAAGATCGATTGAAAGAAGATGAATAAGACGATGACGAAGAAGAAGATGAAAAAAGTTTCTGCTTGTCCATTTTAGATCTTCTTCCGAGCTTGATGGCTGAAAAAATTACAAATAGCCTCAATTTTTCGACTGCCAGTTTGACCAATAAAAAAATTCTCGTGCTGCTTTCTTTTTTTATAGTACCCCGAATGTCACTAAATTCAACGCATATATTATACTTTATTTGATTTGGTTTTTAAAGAAAATCCATCAACTTTAAATTGATATAAAATGTAACTTTAAAAAAAGAGTTAGAGGAGACACCCCCTCGCTTGTTCAGTTATTTATGAGATGACATGAGAGAGGAGAGGGGGAGGGTTGTCCGAGTGTTTATGAGTGGTGCTGCAAACTGACCGTCTCTGGACATGCCGACTTGTAGACACTTGTGGAATCTGCAGAACCTGCACATGTTCCTCGTGTTCTCACTCACCCCACAACTGCCCTCCTTGGCACACTTCAGCCGCCGCCAGTCCTCGTTCCGGTGGTTCCTCTTGAAGAAACCCTGAAAAAAACACAAGCATAAAGAGGCGTTTTGACGCATCGGTAGTAATGGCGCTCAGCAAGCATATGATTGCGGGTTCAAATCGCACGTGTGCTGCCATTTACAAAGAGAGCTCTTGTAAAATAGCCATAGCTTAGTTAACATTATACACTCAACCTTCGGGTTACGCCTCTGGCTGTTTAATTGAAAAAAAAAATGAAAAAAATTGCAGCTTGATTTAGAAGGTGTAAACATACTAAGGAGTTAATTAATTATAAATCTGGATACCGGAAAATAGCAATCGAGTTAGTTACAACCTAACTTTTCAATTGTATAAAAAACAGCCATTCAAAACACAAAGAGCGGCAGAATGGAACTGATTTGCGCTGTTTTTCAAGAAGAAGCTCTAACTAACATTACAAATATACGCATCATTACGGGTCCCAGTCCACTATAACCGTAGAGTCCAGATACATTGTCATTAGAATTCGCAAAACCTGGTGCTGGGATCTACAAAAATGTTACAAAAAAAAATAAAAATATAGCTGCAAAACAAAAAAAAAACAATAAAGTCAACATCGGTGAAATTAAGTGGCCCATTATTTACAACCAGAAAAGCCTTTAAATTTAATATGACCTGAGGCTGACGTATTTATAGTCACTACGCAATAAAAATCACTTTAGAGCTCCTTTTAAAACAAAAATATTTCAATTTATTTTTTGAAATAAATTGAAATTTCAACAAAAGAAGTTTTCAAAGCTGGTCTTGATTTCGAAACTATGAATTAGGACAGCAAAAAACTGGCCAACGTTGAATAGAACAGATAACCAAAAACTCACTTTGCAGCCCTCGCACGTCAGCACGCCGAAATGCACCCCAGATGCAAAACTAGAACACACTTTACACAGTTCGTTCTCGGCTGGGTTAAGCACAACTCCGTCTTTCCTAGGGTCATACGAACTCGATTGGCCGGATGTTCCGAGTTGAAACGGGAACGTGAAGGAAAAGTCGTTTGTTTCAGGACTGCAGCCCCAATAGCTAGGATAGGTTTTGTTCTGGGGCTGGTATGACTTCTGCAAACTTATTTGGCTGTTTGGATCTTGTGCTGATAGTGGCGCTGAGAATCCAGTTGTCTGATATGAGCAGCAGCTGAGAGGGTCTAGAAAATGTACAGCAATTCACGTTCAGTTTCAATTTTAACTAGACAAATAAGATACTGGATATCTTTAAAGATCTTGAAGATTCTTCGAAAACTCTTGAAGAATCTCGAAGATCTTTTCAAGATTGCGCAAAAAAATCAAATTCTTCTGTTGAGCTGCACGTTGCTTCAGATGTTTTCATGTAGTTTAAACGCTTAGGTACTTGGAAAAAGACAGAAGTCATTTGAAGCTTCTTTGCTATCTTAGATAAAACTTCAAGAATCTTCATGTAGTTGTCAAGATTTTCAAGACGACTGGACCTGAGATCTGCTGACCAAAAGGGATCACCAACTGTATTTGAATTGAAAGCATAAAGCAACTTTTAGTCTATAGCTTTTAACAAATTTATCTGACGTCTTAATTTTTTGAAATAATTCTGACCTTCAAATTTAAACTAAATTAAAATACTTCTTTGAGCTTTCGCGTTTGCCTTTTTGTCGGCGTCATATGTGTTTTCTGCTCTGAAAAATTACATGGCAAATCGCTGTAGACTGAAAATGTTTTCTTAATTGTGCTTTTCAAAATAGGCAAAAACGAAACTCTCTGAAAATGCCCAATCATTTTGCATTGCTCTTTTGACAGTTCAAATACAGTTTTGAAAATTTGTTTGCAAGTTGTAAAGCCATTTCACCGTCTCAAGCTCCGAATTATTTCAAAAACCAAAGACAATGTCCCATAAATTTGTTATAAACTATATCATTATTGAAAACTTTGCTCAGAAATAAGCAATTTCATTAGTATATCATAAGCCAACAATCAGAGTGTAAGATCTCAATCGACGTAATACCCCCCCCCCCTCCCAATAGAAAAAGTAATTGTTCTGTTTTCTAATTCTAATTAAATAAAAGTGTTGCGATAACTTACTTAATTTTATTTCTCAAAACTTCTCAGGGTAAAGTCCTGAATGTTAAAAATAATCAAATTTTGATTTTCGTATGACGTCCCATACACGAAATATCAATTACAAATTGCGATTAATGACTCCAGTAAAAGCCTTGTTTGGATCAATTAGGTAAGAAAGCTCGTTGTTGAAATGATTTTGAGTGAAGAAAGTTTCAGGCGTATGCGTTTTTAGCACGTAAAATGACTATAGAGTACGAAACGTCTTTTCAAGTTTGAGCTCACGTCACTGATAGCTTTTCACAAAATTTTTGGGGAGCTTTACAAAAATGAGCGACCCGAAAAATCATAGTAGATGAAATTCTGCAGAGCAATTTTTTAGTGCGACAACCGAAAAATATATATTATTATGTTTCCTATAGTTCAAACTTTGATATATTTTCGAGAATTAATCGCGTTGTCCAGCAGTTTTTAGAGAGTTCAAAATCATTTGAAGTTTGACAAATTAGATTTTTGATTGCGCCCATTATAGCTTCCGTCATTTCAATCAGCTATTTTTGATAATCAGAGTTTCTTAAGCCACCGGAAAACATTAATGTCTTGAACCCTGATGTGAAATGCTATTTTATCAGTTTTAAATTAATGTTTGCCAAAATTAGTTGATGACGGCGAAATGGTCAAAAATTGCGTTACTAAATCGGATGCTTAGCATTCGGTACTCGCTATTGCCCCTGGGGGAGATTTGCAAAAAAATTGAAACTTAAAAGCATGAGTCTTGATTTATGTTTCGATACCACAGCGGATGGAGCTGAGACATAGAGTTCAAAAAGAGTTCAAAGCTGAGGTAGAGTTGAAGAAGTACTTCTGCCAATAATATGTCAATATTATCAAACCATCCGATTTTTTATACTATGGAATTTGACCAGGCATGAAACTAGGTATAAATTTTGAACTGTTTGAGAAGTTATTTTAGAATTGAAAATGATATCAACTTATTGATTCGACCATTTGAAAAATGTGGAGGAACTTCTTTTTGGGGTGTGCTTCAGTTTTTTTGTTTTCCTCACATGGTCAGGTACCACAAATAATCACCTGAATTTGTCGAAAGATACACCATATTAAAGCATTTTCACTCGTGATTCAAAAAAAATTTTAAAAAAATTGAAATTTTTTTCAGTGTCGAAAAGAAACAGTTGAAAAATTTTGAGTTTCGTTTCAATTTCAAGCTAATAATTTGAGGCTAAGCAGGCTTACAAAAGCTTATTTATGCTTAATTCAAGCCGTGAAAATTTAGTTTTGCTCGGGTAAATTTAGCTTTTGGGGTTTTTAAGGCAAATTTGGGAAACAAAAACTTCGAAATTCAAAAGTTTTCTGAAAAAAAAAATTTATTGAACGAGTTTTTAACATTTTTTTTTCGTTTATCTTTTGTACTTTTTTAACAAAAATGTTTTGGAATTGGTTCATTTTAATATAAATGTCGAATATGCGTAAGTTCTATGTTTTGTGTTCAGATTTTTGAACACACCACGCAGAAAAAGTGACACTACTTTGAAAAAACTTTTTTTTTGTATTTTTTTTAAGAATATGGTTGGAACATTCGGAACTATGGTCTTGCACAGTAACCGGCTATCCTTGTTGCTTATTTGTCTTGGATCATATTTTAAAGCAACTTAGACTAACAAAAACGAGATGAAAATAAAATCAATGAATTATTCAATATACAATATGGCGCGTTTAGATGGTACACGTAACCACGCTGTTTGTTTTTGTTTTGACTTTCGAAGAAAATAAAGAAAGATCTGTTATGGTGTTGGTTTTTCACCAGAGAAATTTTGATTTCTCAAAGAATCTTTTTCAATGGATTTGTATCCTCCAAAACATTTAATATCCTAAGCTCAATTTTAAAAAATATTTTACCTGTGATCATGCCCCGCAAAATTATGAGGATGATTTGAAAATTGACATTTAGGGATAATTAACACGCGACATACCTCGCGCTATTAGCGCGTGCGCGGCTATTTGTATAGAATTAAAAGTGGTTCAAAATTGAATAGATGCATGATTTCACATTTTGCTTAAATAGCGTGTGGCGATGGCTTTCCAAAAAAAACTAAGTTTTTAAAATATGGTTCCAGGTTTTTTTGGAAATTTTTTTCATTTTTTTCAAATAGAACTTTATTCCGTTAACTTTAAAGGGCAGTCGAAACATGATATCATCTGTCTTTTTTTATTGCTAGAACATTTGTTGAAAAAAGTACAATATATGGCAGTGGCTTATATCTTAATCCTACAAGTTTTGCTCATGAAATTAAATGTATGTGAACAAACGATTTGTGATCTCATAAGTTTTTAAGTTCCGACTACGATTACTTTTAAATTGTTAATTAGAGTTATTTTTTGCACAGTTAAGAGAAAAATTTAAAGTGCTTTTCATTTTTCTTTTATCAATGCGGAAGGGAATGCGTAAGATTTAGTTGAGCTGAAAATAATTAACATAAAATTAGGCTAATTGTTATATCAAAGTTTTCAAAACAGGACGGAAAATGGAGCGGTGAAACTTTCAGCAGGTTTGCAATGCAGAAACTTCAAAGGGGTGGAGGAAATTTCTTTTTTTTCTCACATTTCGTAAATTCGATAAACTAGTGATTTAGGAGAGCTCAGAAAATCAATTTGGTCGACTTAAAAAAAAGGTCGAAAAAAATTTCGAAATTTTTTAAAAATCCGCCCCCCCTCCTCGAGAAAATCGGAGATCAGCCCCTGCAAGCTTTTGGTGAGCGGAAAAGTAAAAAAAAGTTCAAAAGTTCAAAAAAATTGCTTTTAGTACAACTAGGCACAGTTTGGCACAACAGAAAAAGAAAAATGACATAAGAAAAATCATTTTTGAAGTCTTCCTTCAAAAAAGCCTGATTTTTTAATTCTATATAGAATCCATAGCCAGAGATTAAATATGCAAAAAAAAATGCGAAGTCACTTAGAGAGATGCTTACCAAAACTGGAATAGTTATTGCCACAACAGTAAGGGTAGCTGCTATTAGCACTGGAAGATCCAAATACAACCATTTTAGGGGAAGGGTTTGAATGAGATACAAGGAAGCTTATAGGAAGTTTCAATTCAAGCTCAACTTCAAATCAAGTCCGTGTCGACACTTGGATATTTGGATTTGAATTGATATGAAGTTTGACTCTTAATCTGGATTAATTTCAGCCGTTTATTTTTAGGAGTCGAGCGTCCACTGTGTGCAGATTGAAAAGTAGTGAGTGTAGTAAAATTAAGTCCCGAATTATAAAATATATGATCTCTTAGTTATAAACAGGCTCACCCGCCGTCTAGTCAGTCTTTTATTGAGTAATAAAAAGGCTGAAACTACTCTCAACCTTTGGCGAAATTAAGCGGTGCCCAATCGTCTAAGACACGAATCACCTGGTTTCTTCCATTAACACTCGATAATAAAGTACGACGACTGATTAAAAAAGAACTTATCACACACGTGTCACATTACGATCAAAGTTTTTTAACCTCAGCCCATTTCGCAATTCTAAAAAGAGATTAAAATGTTATCATTAAACTGAATTGAGTAGCAGTTTTGTTAATTTATTGAGACTGAAACGCATAAATACAAATAAAATAGCTGCCGTTTGCCGATAGCCGCCGGGGTTGTTACGTGTGGCAAGACATTAGCACTTTGCCAATTAATAGTTGCCGTAAAACCCGGCCGCTAGCACTTCGGCAAGTTTTTGAAGTGAGCCATTTTGAAGCTTTCTTTTATGACCACGTGCAGTGCTGGAATAATAAAAAATGACCAAGGGATTGGTCTGTTTCGAACTTGAAATTAGACCTGGGTCCCCCTTAGTGAGATGAAAGAGACATTAGGGTCACCAGAAGGTTAGAAAACAGAGTCGGCTATCCGGGACGGAGCTGGAAGCGGGCCAATAATTCAAAGACGATTTCGACCCTTAACAGATACTAATTAGACTTGGACGAAGTCAGCTTTTTTGGCAAAAAAACTTAGAAGCTGTTGCAGACAAGGGGGGATGTCCACTCTAGTCCTCAAAAATTCGAACCCTCCGCTGCCAAAAATGCTCCCTTTTGTTACTGTTTTACAAAATTGATGATTGGCCAAGCAAGCCGTAAACTTTTATAACATTAAAGGGAGAGAAACGCTTGTAAAAAAATCCAAACCTTAACGATAACAAAACTTTGCTTGCTTTTCAAATACTTTTGCGCGACGAGCTCTAAAAATATCTGCCAAATCATTGTTTTTTTTTCTTAATTCGAGAGCTCGGTAAATAATTTTCATATTGACATGAAAAAGTAGAAAAAGTAGAAAAAGTGACAAATTGAAACCTGGCGCATTGCAGGTATTTTTTGTCTTGAGTTGTTTATAAAACCCAAAGGTGAAGCGGCGATTTGCACCACTGGCAATAAAGCACAAACATAGCCTTGCAAGATAGCAGACAGAAAAGAAGACAAAAGCCACAAAGTCAAAAAGAAAGTTTGATAAATACATGACGTTCATTCATTTGCCTCAATTTGCATCTTCATGAGAAAAACACGCCTATTGAACGAGCAAGATTAAGTAAGGCGACAATACTTGAGCAGACAGCAATTGGGCCGAAAAAAGGGATGTCAATAAAGTCTTTGATCTTTCAAACAGTTTGAACACGAAACCCAAACACGTTAGACACATGCATAGAAATTTTTTTTCGCCGTTGAACGACGCAAATGAGTCATTTGAGCCAATTTGTTTAAAAATAAACCCCTTTCTACCAAACAAAGCCAGCGAAAAAGCATAAGCAAATTTAAAAAAGGAAAACTTAAGCCGACAAAGAAAAGAGTTTGTAAATTAAATAACATAAAGTCTCAAAAAGTAATTTTTGAGTGATCATAAATCACTCAAAGTATATCTTTTGAACAAAAAATCACTGACTTGACCAAAATTTTTAAATGATCTGCATTTTTTGAAAAACAACAAAAAAGATTCGGCAAATTTTCTTCCAAAGCAATCAATTATATTTTCGTTTATCTACACTTTCCGAAAGCCCACAAAAGTATCCACTGCAAAAGTGTAGATTGAACTACCGCTACTCGGTCAGAAAGCTAAGAAAATTGACTTAAGTCCTAGAAAAGAGTTTTAGATTTATAGGTCAATGATTCATATGGATTACATAGGTCAGAACCAAGACCGCAATCACAAAAAACAGTGCAATGGTTAAAAACATAAAAACGTTGAAGATCAAACTCTCAAATATTCTCGAAAAAATTAAGCTGTCACAAAAATTGTTAAAGAAGCTTGGTTGGTAAGAAAAAATATTCAGCACATTACATCAGTTCGGTCCTCAGACCTGTAGTATAGTTTGAAAATCAAAGTAATGCATAGCAGGTAATACAGATTCAAAGTTCAATTTGGTTGAAAATTTTGAAAATTTTCAATAAAGCAGAAAACCTGGAATACAACCACAACAAATTAGCAGACACAAATTGAGAAAGGAGCCTCTAAGTTGTGAAAACTTAAAACTACAAAAAATTCCGAATATTTGTATCAATTTGTCTAGAATAAAAACATATTAACAAAAATAAACTGAACTTGAAAATGCCTCGGAACAGAAGTTAGATAGCGATAACAACCCAACAAGGATAAAAGCGAGAAAATAAGTTGCAGGCGTAACAATTCCGTGCTCATTAACCGACAAGCAAAAAAAATTTAAAGGTTTTTTAAAAAAATTTCTTTGTAAAATTTTTATTAATAAGTTTCAAAAAGCAATAAAAAACACGCAAAAAATTGTTTGTTATGAATTTCTATGAAACTATCATTATTTTGCATAAAAGACTTACGAATATAATCGGGTCTGAAAATGCCAGATTTCTTCATCTACATTAATGTTTTCAATCCGAGGGAAAAAGTAGGAAACAGCCGAAGTCACTAAAATTTTCACACTGATTACTTCAATTTTTTATCGCATGAACAACTGGAATGTTTCACATCGCATGAAAAACTTTTTTTTCACTCCGCTCATTCGCGAAGGAGTTCACTCCGACGCAAAACTTAGTGCAGATGAGCAAATTGGGCGTTTTCAGATCCGAATTATAATTGTTAGTCTTTGATACAAAATTTTGATAGTTTATAGAATGTGTCTCTGATTATTTGCTTCTGGTCTATATAAAATTTGGCTGAAATTTGATGTTAATGATGCCCAAAATGGACATTCAAAACAGGCATTTCAGATAATAAAACTTGCCTTTGCGCTCATTTTTGTCCGCAAGTGTACATAATAAACTTGTTCGACTACGGTGTTGCGGTTCAAATTCTATTAGAACCTCTGAGCACTAGTGTACAAAAATAAACGCAAATTCAGTTGTTTCTCTAAAACTCGTGTTTTTAATGTCCACTTTGGAAAAAAATTTTTTTTTCGAATTTCGTTAACATTTTTACATAGACCTGGAGGAAATTATCAGATCTAACTTTTATGAAACTATCAATTTTTAGTTTCAAGGGCTTACAAGTTTTTCCTGTGTCTAAAAAAGCCAGTTTTCACCATCTGCATTAAGTTTTGCATCGGAGTGAACTCTTTCTCGAACAAGCGGAGACAAAAAACTGTTCATGCAATGTGAAACGTTCTAAGCAATTTTATTGAAATGTTTGGTGCGACAATTTTATTTAACGCAATTATTTCCTAAATTTTTTCGCTTTTAGAACAACTTAATTCAGATGGTCAAAACAGACTTTTTCAGACGTAAAAAACTGTGTCTTTAAGGCCAAATTTTGTTAATTTTATAGAAGGCAGCTCTGATCATTAGCAGTGGGTCTCGCTTAAATTTCTGTGGGATTACCCATTGATTTTTTCCCAAAATCATCATTGAAAGCAAATATTTTAGGGAGAAAAATCAAGAGAAACTGGCCTTATTTTTGTCCACTAGCGTAGACAATATTTTGGAAATTGGCTAAACAATCAATTAACATCCAAAATATTTCATTAGGGGCCATCTACATGTTTGAAATCAAAATTTGGTAATTCAATTCACCCAAAATTTTGCAAATCAATTCATCTAAAATTCTTAAAATTCAATTGACCAAAATTCTGCCATTCAAGTTTTATGTTTGCTCAACTGTTATAATTGAAATAAAATTGACTCAGACACAAAATTTTTTTGAGTTTCTACCTGAAATGACGATATTTGAGAAAGCTATAAGTAATTAGCACTGCTGTCTAACCAATGAAGTCTTCCAATGTTTCGATTACCCGAACGAAAACTGTGAAATTTTTTTATATCGATAAGTTTTTTTCACACAATTCTCGATAATTATTCAAAGCTATTAAGCTTAGCGATTTTGCCGAAATAAAGTTGATATCTTATAAAGTTTGAAAATACGAATCTAAATTAATTTTCTTAAACAAATAGTTTCGGACTACATATTCATAAAGGTTTTTCAACGCCGAGAAAAACGGGTCCGAAAGTTTTGCTTTTTGTTCATTTCAGAGAACAGAAAACAAAGCCCGAGTTACTATCCCAAAAATGCTGTTACTGCTCAAATACAATGAACACAGCGTGCGAATTAGTAATACTTCATTAACCCTGTAAAATTTTTAAGTCCCAATTTTGCAATACAATTCCAATGAATTATCGAAAAATTTTTAGCATTCGAACGTATGATGCAAAAATTGTCCTACCACGGCTCATAAGCTACAACTTATTGGAGGATAGGCACACATGGTACCTCTGTACCATAAAACATAGGCTAGCCTAAGTTATATGGGCTTAAGACTGGCTATAATTTGGGTGTGAAGAATAGCTTGATTTGCGTTTTTGGGAATTTTGGAAAAAAAACCCGAAATTTTATTTTTCAATTTGCTGAAGCTTTTTCAAAAAAATAGGCTATCGAAATTTCAATTATGGGGTGCTTTCAAAAGATGTTTTTTTTACACAGAAGCGAAGTTGCACTCAGCATACACAAGCAAAAATATTAGCAATAAAGCTACTGGGAAAAACTGAATGAGTAAAACTTTGAGTCTACAAAAACTTCTTAATTGACGCACGCCAATTCTGAGTCTACATAATTGCTAAATGACGCGAGCCAATAATTACGCATTAGCAGTACCATTCATTTTGAAAAGAGAAGAAATTTATCTTACATGCCTCGACTAATATAGCGGACGCATTTTAATTAGCTTACGAATAGTTCATTAAAAGCATCCGAGTCTGCCGAGTTTCGAACCCTCTTATTTTGTTGCGGGTCTCCTTCCCTATCTTTACGCTACAGATCCATGATAACTAAAAGCTAAAATGCTATTTGTAATGTAATAGTCTGTGTTAATATCCTTAGCATTGGATGTACTTAATAGCTGGATCAAAATGAACACTTTCAAAATGAAAACATTTTGTCGCAACAAATGCATCGCAACAATATTTGCGACTTAAGTTGCAAAAAAAGGTTTCATACTATAACACAAGCTATGCTTGTGTAAAAAAGGATCAACAGTACGATCCCCACTAAGTCGTAAAATTTCGTTTATTACTTTTTGTTCCGACCACTGAGAATGGGGGAGCTTTGTGTTCGGATTTATTTTTTTTGTGTCTTCCAAGCACAATTAGGTACCACAAACAATCATCTGAAGGGGTCGAATAATATATCACGTTGCAGCCCTTGCAGTGGCGATTTGATTCCTACTAAAAAACTTTCCACCCAGACTTCCACGGTGAAAAACCGGTTTAAATTTAAACGGGTTACGACAACTTCTTCCCATTCATTTTTTCTAAAAGTATTTCATCTTCTTTTAAATTTTCAATTCGAATGCGGCTGATTATTTTTTTTTGCTATCAGCGAATATCAACTTTCTCTTTCATTAACCATACGCACTTAGCCAATAAATATGAAAGGTGTAAAAATGATTTAAAAAAATCTAGATCTCATGGAACGCAAGTACCTGCCCCAATTGGAAAGAACTTAACCAACACATTTTTGTTCAATTGCTGAGCTTGAAAATATTTGAATCAATTTAAAGCTCTCAAAATTGAAAATTTTTGGAAGTTTGACCTTTTCTCGATTAAGCAAACCCAACTTGAGAAAACTGCTGGTATAATAAATAACTATTTCGCCTGCAAACGTAAAAATTAAAAACCACTTTCGAAACTAAGACTCTCGTTTCTTCAGCCACTTGCACTTTCGATATCAGAGCGCGTACAGTGCTGATTTTAATTATCCGAACACAACGAACAAAACTGGAAAATCTGAACGCGTTTTTCTCAAATTGGGTTAAGCTTAGACAAAAAAAGGGATTAAAAGTTAGAATTTCACCAGAATTAATATGGTGCATTTTTTTCCGAATTGCTTAACCAAAATTTTTACCCCAAAAATAGGTCATTTTGGCTTTTTTTATTAATCAAGAATTGCGCTACAACTTTCAAATTAATTGGTGAGAAAATTCTAGAAATAAAATTTCCGAAAATTTTTATAAAAGAATAAATTTTTGGTTGTTGATAGCCAAAAAACGTCATAACTACTATAAACAAATTAAAATCTTTGGCGAAGGAAAATTTCAAAACCTTCACTCAAAATTTTGTTGGGCTGTTTAAGAGCCTTTTTTGATATAACTTCCTCATCAATTAAATTAATCGTTTCAGCGCAATTCTTGATTAAATAGAAAAAACCCAAATGACCAAAATGTGGGGTAAAATTTTGCTTAAGAATTACGTTTTTTCCAGAAATTATTGCTAAAGGAATTTTTTCCCAAAGGAACTGCTCATACAACCTAAAAAAAGCACTGTGTAAATCTGCTTCAAAATTTGATAAACATTTGTGGTACTCGGCATCGAGAGGAGCGAAAAAACATTTCTCATGGATGTTGATTTGTTGACGCTGATAAGACCACGGTTCGCACTGATTTCGTCCGGATTAACGTGGACTTATTTCAGTACAAAACATGTCTTTGCGTCGTTAATCTATTTACAATTTCAATTTATGTAAAGACGTAAAGAGCGGAGATATTAATCTTGGACTACTGCGCGTCAGCTTATTATGTCAGCTGTTTCTAAAACTGACTTCTCGTGTAAAAATGGAGCATTTTTAGCGTGATAAGAAAGTACAACTACTCGAATATTACGAAAAATCCGTTTCGGGACCTACCCACACCCGAAACGACCTTCGTCGTTTCCAGAAAGGACGTTAATCTGCATCAATTGAGCAGAATTAATCTCTTGAACTTGTATTGGTTTTTCAAATAATTATCAGTAGCTTGAATTTCAGCCATCAAATGATTTGCGGTTTCTGTTGGACAAGCTAACAGAAAGAGTCTATGGTCCGATTTGATCAAACTTGCTAAAAAATATCCGTTTCCACTTTTTCGACATCAACCATTGGTTACAGCGAACATACTTGTCAATCAACAAATAAAATGATCACATGGCGACATTTTATTGAAACATAGTTTTGATTTAAAATATATATTTAATAAATATAATTTTTGCAGTATGAAATTCTTGCAGATTATCAGAATAGAAGCAAGAAATATGTCGCAAACCCAAAATTTACATAAAACAGCCATAAAAAAACTTACAAACTTGCTAAATTTAAAAACAAGCTGAGCAACATTTCAAGTTTTTCACTGCATTTAATTCAAACTATATCTCCTTTTTCAAACGAGACAAACTCAGTTCTTTCCACGATGACTTTACTACTACCTTGTCCGTTAGAATTTGATATGTTTTCGCCACTGTTGCGCGTGCTTTTGATCTGTTCTTGATGTGACCTGATCTGTTGTAAGACTGTTGCCGCGCAAGGCCTATTCGACGGCTCTACTGCCATTAGAACGAAGATGAGGTCGTTTAAGAAAGCCGGGAATCTGAACAAACCAAACAAGTTGTGATGAGTTAATAACTAATAGCACGAGCGGAGTCCCCACCCTTTCCTTCAACATTTCGGTCACCTCGCTACCCGCCACTCAAAGATGGTTTCCCGTTTGATACTATTTCACTGCTAACATTAGGCCGTAAACGAAATCTATTTTGTGTTACAAACACTAAAATTTGTGTCACAAGCACCAATATTTATTATTTTAAAAAACTCGCATGAGAAAATAGGATCTTCACAGAATTAAGCTCCAAAAACTATGCTGGTCGACCACTGAAAATACGTTCAGCAGACTTGGATCAGAACAGCGAACGTACTCTGACTCTTTGGGTATTCTGACATTGCATCCCATGGCCGCCAGAGCCACACTGTCTCCCCTTGTGAAGCACTTCTCGAATGGGTTTTCAAAATACATCAGAGCAAACAGAATGCACCCCAGACTCTGAAACAAAAGAATGCAGGGTTTAGCAGATGGAAAACTGGTTCAGAGGTCTTATATCAAACAGTTTCTATCACGCTAAGCTATGAATTAGCATGTGCCGGAACAATTTAAAATTTGGTTCCGACCCCTCAAAGTGGCGAATAAACATGTTTTCAAGAGTATTATTTACCTACGCAAAATCAAAACTCCCGAAGGAACGTTGTAAAAGGTCCAGAAAAATGATCCGCCTGCATAAAAATAGACATTTCATTTTGTCAAGCAAAGAGCCGTAAGACTGTTCCCGAAAACCTTTTTGCAACAAAACTGAGATCAACGCACTCAATTTGTATTCGTTGAATTACAAAATTGTAATAAAAAAATGGTTGCCCGGCAACAAATTTTTCATGTTTAAAAAATGGTTGTCTATTTTGGATTACATGCGAACACAACTTTCGTCTTTCAGAGAACGTTTGCCGATAATTCATAAGCAAACTATATATATCTCAGAAATAGAAACAGTCTGAATACAGAGCGTCTAACATTAGAAATGGTCTAAGATGAACGTGTTTTAATAAAAAGAGCCAACTTTAAATTTTTATAAAAGCAAGCGTAAGCAGAGGGGGGAAATTTTGCCTGCCACTTAAGAAAAGAGCACAGATAATAGATGACTAATGTAAACAGAAAAATATGGCTTTCGCTTACCCATATATCAATGGCAGTGTCGATAACTGACCCCACTTCGACGTTGAACAACTCAGGGGCTCTGTACAATATACTGCACTTTTCAGCTGCGTCATCCTAAGTACAATTTCTGGTTAGACAGACTATAAAATAGACCAATCAGCTATGGTTAAAACAACGAAAACTAGCTGTTACAATCTTTTTGTAACAGTTAGTCACCGCTGTATTCGTGTCTCAAATTAGTAGGTCACCTGAATGGTCATGGCCTGTGTCCGATTTGTGACATGTATTGGTGCAGTGGTCATGGACCCGAAGTCCATGATCACAGGTCCACTGTCCTTGCCGGTCATGAGGATGTTGGCACACTTCAGGTCTCTGTGACATATCGCTCCACTCTCGTGCCTGTGGAGGTAGTCCACGCCACTGCAGATGCCTAAACATTGCAGTTTGGGTGCTCTAGTTTTTCATTTGAGGAACAAGAACAGTTGAGCAAAATGCTGCTTTTGCACCATTGCTTTTCATTCTCTATGTAAATGATTATGAAAAAAAAAACAGAAACAAGAATTTAGCGCAATTTGCTGATGAGCGAAAAATTTTATCTGTAGGAAATTCAAGGTTGAAATTAGGAAAACCGATGCTGAAAATACTATAGAAAGTACATGAATATTTATAGAAAACAATCTTGTTTTCAATGTCGATAACATAGCCAATCGAAGATTGGAAAAGAGTAATTAACGCAAGTAATCATTAAAAAGACATTGACTTCCTTGAAAAAATTTCAACTTTCGAACTTCAAGGACCAAACTATATGCCCTTTAAGCTCTTGAAATTTCTAAAACGATTTATGATTGGCGCTTTTTTGATAACGTCAAGCCAACTTGAGAAAACCGGATCAACAAGCAAAGTTTTTATTCCGCTGGAAATCTAAAAACTAAATTCCACTTTCGAAACTAGAAATTGTTCACGTTTTTTTTTGCGCCATTTCAACGTTTGTATTTGGAGAGTTTTATTTACGTCATTTTCAGCAGATTAATTTCAACTAGTAATTAACGCACCTCCGGTACCTCGAAAATTTTCGACAACTCATGAAAACCGCATATATTGGAAACAACATCTGCAAATTTTTAGTGTACTCTGACTGCACCCAATTACAGGGTTGGTAACTTCAAACTTTTCTAATTCCCACTATGAAAAACCATCATCTCGAAAACTTAATAGGCCTCTGGAGAAAATGGAGGCCAGATCTGCAACCACTAAGAGTCCCTGAGAGCACCCTATAACGCTGACAATAAGGTTGCCTTAATCAAGTTGGCAGTTTCAAATTTTGTGAATTTCTTGGTAGATAAATTCTCTAAGAAATTTTGAAAAAATCAAATAAATGTAACATCTCGGAAACTAAAAGCATTTGAGCAGTCGCATGTGGCAAGATTTTTAACTCCTTCTGAGAGTACCCTGACAGCACTCAACTACAAAGTTAAGAATTTCAAATTTTGAAATAATAATTAATTCAAGTTTTCTGATAACTTTTGAAGAAATCACAAAAAACGTCATATCTCGAAAACTACAAGGATTTGAGCAGTCATATTTGGAGGCAAGACTCGCAATCCTTGATAGTACTCTGACAATACCCAACTACAGGTTGGGAACTTTAAGTTTTGTATGTTATTTTGTAATTTGAGTTTTCTGAAAATTTTTGAAAAAATCATAAAAATCGTCTTATCTCGTTAACTAAAAGTATTTGGGCATTCAAAATTGGAGGCCAAACTCGCAACCCCTTGGGGAACCCGGGCAACATCCCAATATTGGGCTGCTTATTTTACACTCGGTGCAACAACCACTAAAATCAAATTGGAAAATCGAAAAAAAATTCTTAACCATTGCAATATACGATATAGCTTAAACGTGCAAAATTCTTCCGTTAAACATGCAAAAATTATACGTTGAAAAAGCTCAAACATGGCGAGATGGTGAAGCCCGCATTTAAATATATAAGATTGAACTCAAAAAGTGCATATATTCCTAATTTCATTCATGTATGAATGCACATCTGTAGTTATTAGAGCATTTTAAGACTTTTTCCTGAAAAACAAAGAAACCACTAACACCTTTATAAGAGTCTTCACTACGTTCATTTCTCTTAAAAACAGAACTCAATGATTGGGAGAAAAAACAGTTACGGAAACATTATCTATATAAACAAAAACATCTCCAGAAACCGCATTTCCGCTACTAGCACTCCAGTTTCATAATAACAGAGTCAACAGGCAAATTTACTGGGGAATAAAAATGTACTAGCTCCGTAAAACAACAAATCATCCACGAGATTTATATCTCAAGTCTGAAATTTACCAACTGAACTATGCAGGACCCAACTTAGCCCAACTAAAATGTTTAATGTGGCAAAAAACTTCAAGATACAGTAAAATGAAATGGGGGTGTATTATGAATATGTGTGCAAAAAACAATCGCACAAAATAAAGCGAAAAAAAATAAACAAAAATAAGCAATCGCACAAAATAAAGCAAAAAAAGAAGCGAAAATAAGCGACAAATAAGCGAAAAAAATTTGTGCATTCGAAATAATAAGCCGACAGAATTAAAGCCGCTATCTAGTCAGCTGAAAATCAACAAAACAATATGTACTGCCCACGTAGAATCCACGAAAGCTATTTATGTACTAAATTCAAGGTGGCATACACAAAATGGAAACTAAAACGAGAGCTTAATCGACTTTCAAAAGACGAAAAACCAGCAAAAAATATCGAAAATCTATCATTAAACACAACTAATCGATCAAAATGGCAGAAAAAACTTGGCAAAAACACGCATAAACAAAATAAAGCAAAATTGGCATCGGACGAAAACTTACAGGGTGGTAACAAAGCTAAAAATACCTGAGCAGAAACCCATCAAGTAGAAAAAAATTCAACAAGATTTGAAAATATTGAAAAAAATTGTAAGTCCCCATTCCCCTCAACACACACAAGCACACAAAAAACATTTTGAGCTTATCAAATATGAGGCCATTAAGATGGGCTGAAGCCTATTAAGCCGAAAAAAAAAGATAAAAAACTAAATTTTAACAAATCGAGTTGGTAAAACTACAATGAACATAAAGAGACACTTTTGATTGGGAAGGATATCTAAATTGCTAAAATGCTCAAAATACATATGTAGTTTCAAACAGAGGACCAGGAGATGAATAAGTCCAGAAGAGTCCTGTGTACAAAGTTATTTATGGGAAAAAACCTAGGACCCGATTGCAATACATTTGCTGATCGGAAGGGTAATTAGTGTTGATTTATTCGGTTTTATGTTAATTTGTAACTGTATACAAGCAGTTTATATATGAATGTCGATTTGACCAAGTGGATAACATGTTTGTGAAAAAAGTATATTTTACGCAACGAAAAATTCAAATGAGCGAGACCACATTCATAATCAAAATAATTTTTCTCTAAAATTTTACATGATAGAATTTTACATGAGTGATAGAATAAGGACGCACAAAAATCGTCAGTAAATGTGCTTAACCTTCAATGATTGTACCAAAATGAGCACATTAGGATTACCTGCAAATAGTTTGAGGACCTTCAGGTGTGAGAGTCTGGTGCCATGTATCTGGTTCGCCTTCAAGGCATCTTCTAAAGATCCATTCTAAATAATCAAACTCAACAGCTCAAAACAGATCAACAGTGATACAGATACACATTAGAAAACTTTTCAAAAGGGGGATTTGTTTCAAGATCCAAAATTTGCATTTGCTCAAGTGTTTAATTCTGTAGTGGGGATTCGTTACAAGGAACCATAAGGAGGGGGGGGGGAGTTAACCAAATCCCTCTTTCGGTTGACATAACTGCAGGATAATATTTGCCTTCAGTAAAATGAACAATCCAAATAACCGATTACGAGATATGTTCATTTTCATTTCGATTCCAACTAAAAAAAATAGTGGTCCTTACTATCAAGTCAGAGCCTCGGACACTTTGGAAAACCGTCGACAACCGTATATCCGTTCTACATTGATTCCGAAACGTGGGAACGAACTGTCGTTCAAACGTTCGAGGGCAGATCGCTCATTTTTTTTCAATTTCAGAAAACATGTGAGGGACTTTTGAGTTGATTGCATCTCTCAAAGAAGAACAGTTACCTTGAAAAAAGGCAGCACCAGAAAATACTCCGCTTGAGACGAGGAGGGATTGATCACTGTTGAGTCCACTAACCTAATCAACGAGACAATTCACTATTATACAGGGGCGGATTTAAAGGGGACGCGCCTTCCCTCAGGGATTCGACCCCCTACCGACCCAAAGGGTCCCCCTTTGAACTATTTTGAGATATCCAATTGTGGGTGACCGACCTTAAAATTTTTCTTGAAAAACAAAACAAAATCAGCAAGACCTATATAAGAGTCGTCACTACGTTCATTTCTCTTAAATAATACCTGAAATAACGATTTCCTCATATGGTTCCTATCTAATATGCACATAAACTAAAAACTACTACAAATAGTTTTTCTTAAATTTTGAAGAAAATGATAGTCAGCTGGCGCGAATACCATTTTTGTCGCACATAATCTTTCACGAAAGATCCATCAAACAGAAATGTCAATTTTACTGCTCCAATTAAACCGTATCATTTACCAGATGATTCAATACTGAGCTGAGATTGCGTAATCGAGTAATGCCGATTCAACGTAGAGTATACACACACGCGCAGCGGAACTTCGCACCACTTGCAATACAACAAACATTTAAAAAAAAACATAAATCGAAAAGAATGAACAACTTTTAAAAACGTCATATAAGTTTAATGTCTCGATAGAAGTTAATTTCAGGCAAATATGCCAGACACTTGACTTTCAAATCAGCAAAAACGGAACAAAACTTACAAAAAGAAACAAATCAGACTATCTTTGAGCAGACAAGTTGAGCAAAAAAAAAAAACGATTTTATAAAAAAAAAGTTTTAAGTCCACCTTAAACAGCAATGGACAACACTTGCAAATGCAATTACCATGAAAACTGTTTACTACACAAGAAAAATCAATGATGTGGCAATTAAGCCGACAATCTTTGAGCAGACACCAACTAAACCGAAAAAAAGAGGGATTTTATGATTTTTTTGAATCTATTTTTTTATCTTTCAAGTCTCTCCCTGAAATCAGAATGAACAACACTTTCACTAGCAACTACAATGAAAACTGTCGACAGCACAAGCCAAATACTCTGTGGCAATTTGGCCGACAAAACTTGAGCGAACAAAAGAAAAACCATTAATAGATTTCTCTGATATTTTTTGCCAATTTCTTTGCTACCAAAAACACCAAGTCCGGCCACGACTCGAACCCCAGACTTAAGGGTACAAAGGCAATTGTTTTACCTCGAAGCCAAGGGGGAAACAACTTGGAAGATATTAAGAGAAGAGAAGTGAAAAGAAGTCAGCAAGTGATTTAACTGATTTTGTTACACTATTTGTTAACTAGAAAAAAAGTATAATCCAGTTTAAAACAGCTTGCTTATCGCACGCGTGATGATGAAACTAATTACTCCGAAAAAAATCTTTCAACGTTAACTGCGTAAACTTAGACAGACAAAACTTTCCAGCACAGAAGCTTTCCAGATCTTTGATCTTTCATGCAACTTTTTCCCGATCCATCATGCAATGACCTCCTACACAAAACTCAATTCGTAAGTCTAACTTCTTATCTAACAATCGCTACTATCTTATATTGAACAGACTTCCTTAGAAAATCAATTGACTATAACAAACTCATTGCAAAATCTCTCCAACGCATTCGACTATTGATCATGGATTCTTACAAAAAAATTTCTTACAAGATGTTAAATTTTTCGGAACTCAGACACATACACAAATTTTTCATAAGCAACGGCCAGCAAAAAAAATTGTGCATGGTTTTGTATTACAGAGATTCTCACTTAATCAAGGGGTCATGCAGGGTAGTGTATTGTGATCCCATTTTTTTCAATTTATATAAAAATGACCTTAATAAACAATTGGTCGTTATAAAAAATTGAGAAACCATTCCTGTACCATACCAGACTGTACAACATGGCAAAGACACAATGGTATTTTCTAAACAACAAGATGATAATCTTCCACTACATTAACTGGAAGTATTCTGCAAAAAATCCGAAAGTTTCGAATCCCTCTATCGTAAATTGGATACAAAAAAAGCCTGAAAAATTATGCTCAGTTGAAAATCTGCAACAAAAACGAAAAAAAAAATAAATAAATTACTAAATGAAAATTTCATGAAAAGTTTTTGATATTCTAAGGAGAAGATTAGATGAGCTAAGTAATACAAACGTGTGGAATTGATAAAATCGATAGGTCAATACAACTACTCCAAATGAAACAAGAATATTAGTCACGAATGTGTTCGTGATAAGTCACCTACACTATCCAGCCATTCGTTTGAACGGAACTGGTACAATTTTGAGCTTACTCATGAACGCGCTCGTGATAAGTCACTTACAATATCCAGCCATTCGTTTAAAAGGAAATATAAGTTTGAGCTTATCACTTCAAAAACAATTGAATTGCGCTATGAACACTTGAAATTAGAAATTCAAAATCCAATAACTGCTAGCTAATGAAAAATCAGTTATGCAAATTGTCAAATTAAAAAAAAAATTAAAAAAAAGCCATTATTTGTTGAAAGATATAATGATCAAAACAAGGAAAAAAAAATTGCGGAAAATCACTAACAGTATAGAAAAGCATTGAACACAATATATCCTCAGATGACTTTTGACTTAAAGAAAAAAGAAAGGAAGGTTTAAAACTAATTCATATCATTAGTTAATGAAAAATACACCATTAACTATGGTAAGCTTTCATGGGGAAAATTTAAATTTACTTAATGTTTCGGTCGATTTTCATGATGATAATTCAAAATTTCATTACTCATGACCCTAATACCAAACTAAGGCTCTTTTCCAGTTCCCCCCCCCCTTTTCAAAATACCGAGTTTTATTTTTGTTTTCACGTGTTATTACGGCTAAATGCGTGATGTTACGCTGTAAAGTATGAAGAACAAATCTGTTCACAGTTGTCGATTTGTTCACCACGCCAAATTTCATTGCATTATGACAACATTAATTAAGCTTTTCAAAATTGAATTTGAAAGGGGGGGGGGAAACTGGAAAAGAGCCCAAACTAATTATACATGTAGAGGTGAAGTTAACATACACGTGCCTTTTGAATAACTTTTTAAATTGAAAATAAAGTTTATATTTTAAGGATTCTCAGCTCACTGTCTTCAAACTTAATTACCAACGTAGCAATTGTTGACCAAGAGGCGAAGCTTCGCTTCGCAACCACTAGCGAGAATACGACAAGAAGCAGCTATTAAGTGCAATCTCAGATTCAATCTGCGACCTAGTGATTATGAGTCTCACGCACTCAGCAGTCAGCCACGGACGCTAAATGACCTACCGTAGAATGCCCTCCCCAAGCATGTATTAAATCTGAAAACTGATTCCGTATAAGATATTCATTTCATGATATCGCGCAAATAAAACTGATTTCGAGATTTTTGTATGCTGGATTGTATTTGATTGCTAATAATTGCCTAGATTAATGTTTCAATTAGTAAAACGCTTAATTTTGAAATAATCTAGGCTATTGTCGAAATTAGATCCAGAAAAAAATCCATACCCCCTTATTTGATTTGGGGAAAATTGTACGGTTGATACTCCAATGCTACAGATTGGGATTATAGCAAAAGTGACGCCAAATAAGTGAACACTTTTAATTGCGAGTTAGGTTTGAAAAAAAGGTTCTTACTAATACACTACGCTTTGTCAGCTCGCAAGTGTAAAAAGAAAACGCAATAATACCTTTACGCACTTCTAGACTTACCCTAAGTAGTACATTTTCTACCTTGAAATAGTTTTAAGATCTACGTCATTCGGCTCCACCTTCTCGTCTTTTGGTGACCAATACTTTACCATTTGACTATAACGTCAATGAGAAGCTGCATATATAACAGGATATGACGTCAATATTATGCAAACCAACCAAAATGCAGCACACCGAATTCGCTCCTATTCAAATAGCTACTACAAATATACCACAAATATTCACATTTACTTTCACATTTTGCAGTAACACAGGCCTTTACGGTTACGTAGCAATATCTTTATGTACGTCAGAGCTAGAACATAACATCACAGTAATACGAGTTTAGAGCTTAAAACTGCATTCGAATCCAATCAAAAAACTCAACAGTCTAAGTTGCAACTGAAATTTAACAACCGAGTAATAATTATTTATTGCTTACTTAAACATTGACCATTCATCATTTTGTTGCATACTTCGAATCGCAGTGTTTGAAAACTGTGCTTTAGCCAAAAATTCAAACTATCACGTGAAACGAGATCCAAAAACTACCGAAACCGAAATGGATACTAGCCAACCCGAAGACATCCCTCAGCACTTTCTGTGCCCCATAACTCTCGCTGTTATGAACGACCCGGTGATTGACAACGACGGCGTCAGCTACGAACGCCAGGCGATCTCCGAATGGCTTAACGCCGGAAACTCAACCTCGCCTACCACCGGGAAGGAACTGACTGTCAACGATCTTCGACCGAACAGGGCATTACGAGAGGCAATTGAGAAGCACCTTGGAGTGGAAGGAATGGTACATTCGCCTCCTCGCAGCACGGAGAGCATGCCTGAAAGTGGATCTGCTTCGCAACCACAGACAACTTTGACCGGAATGGTAATTGATCAAGGTGAATACAATAATTTGTAATCTAGAAATTTCACTTTTCAGAAAAATTTTTCAGAAAAAAACTACCATTATTATTTTCATCGTAAATCCGACCAATAGTAGTCTTTACAAAAATGTTTTTTTTATCAATCATCCAGTCATAAGAGGTCCTAGGAAGAATCGATTGAAACATTTATCCGAGGATCGATTCACGTCATTCTTTCCTAATCGATCCTCATGTTCCAGCATCCAGCTCCCAAGTGTCTGTGGAACTTGACTTCAACATGAAATACGACGGACATAACATGCTCATCTCCATCGAGCCTCCCGAATCAACACAGTGCGTTAGGAGCTCTATCTGCTGTGTTGTTGACGTCTCTGGATCTATGGGAACCGAAGCCACAATTCAAAACGAGAAGGGCGAAACTGAGACGTTTGGATTGTCAGTTCTCGACGTCACTAAACATGCGTTGAAGACCATCGTCAAAAGTCTCACCCCTCAAGATGAATTCTCATTGGTCACTTTTTGCAGCACAGTTTCAGTCGAGTTGGAACCGAGACTTATGACGCCAGCTGCAGTTGAAAATACTTTGGAGAGGATTGACGGGCTGTGTGAACACGACATGACTAATTTGTGGGGAGGACTGAAGAAAGGGTTAGAACTTCTGACTGAAAGCAGACCAAAGACCGACAACGTGGCACTGTTTCTCTTAACAGACGGACTGCCAAACATTGGGTTCGTTCAATTATTACTTAATGTTTTTTTTTTTTTAAATTTTATTAATGTTGTGGCGCATCGGTAGTGATGGTGCCCAGCAATCACATGATTGCGACTTAAAATCGCACGTGCGCTGTAATTTACAAGGTGAGCTCTTGCAATATCGCCATAGCTTAGTTAACATTAAATAAATAACCTACGGGTTAGGCCTCGGGCTGGTTAACAAAAAAAAGTAGTCAAATTCTGATGACCAGCGGGCAAAGCATTACTTTTGTGCGAATTCTAAGTTTTTGCACGGTGTGCTGATTTTTCAATTCGTTTTAGACCAGCAAAGGGCGAGTCTAAGACCCTTGAAGACTTCAAAAAGAACAACAAAGGTCTGCCCGGTCGCATCCACACTTTCGGCTTCGGATACAGCATGAACAGTGTCATGCTCTCGGAAGTTTCCTCAATTGGAGGCGGACTTTATTCCTTCATTCCCGACTGCTCATTTGTCGGAACTGTCTTCGTGAATGCTGTTGCAAACCATATTACTACTGCGGCTTATAACTTGACTCTCGAGGTCAACGGAAAAAACGTGGTAATTGAGAAGGGCGATCACTTGGCCTACGGTCCGCAAGCCGATGATAAGAGTCTTGCGATTTCGTTCGGATCGATTCAATTCGGCCAGACTAAGGACGTCGTGTTTCCACTCAAGAAAGTCAAAGGTTTGCTGGGTCAAAGTAAGCCTTCATTGGATGTAACATTGAAATACTACACTGGAGGAAATAAGGTTGGTTTGGGAAATCTGTAATTAATATGAAATTATAAAAAGAATTCCATTTAAGCTGTGGTTAAAAATTTAGTGGATCTACTAAAAAGCCCCAACCCACTATGATATATACTAAATAATCACCACCCATCCCTCTTTAAATATAAACAGTAAATCAGCACTTTATCTTTCTACTGCGAGTTCTAATTTTGCTGCATTCCGATTTGAGAGGGGAGGGAGATTTTTAAGTAGATCCGATTTTGGTACTAAATTGTCTTGATGGACATTCGTTTTTCAGTGAACTTTATGTGAAAACTAAGCAAATTAAATGCGATACAGCAAAAAAATATGTTTAATGTCGATTCCATTGACTTTTATTGCAGAAAACGTTGGAAAAGAGCTACGACTGGGACAGACAACTTGAACAGAGCGAAGATATCCAGTACCAAAGAATGCGCCTCGCACTTGTCAAGGGTATCCAAGACGTCCTAGACGTCAGCGGGCTCACGTTCCAGAGCCATAATTTCACTGCACGGGAGCTGAATAACAAGGGCCGCAAAAGACTTGGAACTCTTGAGAAGCGACTGAAGGAGCTCGTGGATAAGAATGAGCCAAGGTCAACTGACCTTCTGAAAGACTTGACAGGACAGATAGCGGAGGCCTTTTCCAAAGACGAGTGGTTCTTCAGATGGGGCGCCCATTTCTGCCTGTCAATCACACTGGCTCATTTGCACCAGATCTGCAACAACTTCAAGGACCCCGGAGTCCAACACTACAGCAGTGAGCTTTTCAGCGAAACGCGCGATAAACTGGATGAAATTTTCATCACGCTTCCAGCTCCCAAACCTTCTGCTAGAACCAGCTACGGAGGATCCAACTACAGGGCAGCACCTGTAAACATGAGTTCATTTATGAACTTTAATTCGGGTTGCTTTCTGGGCTCCAGCTTGGTCCATATGGCTGGTCAAAAATTCCGAAGGGCTGACCAGATAAAGAAAGGTGACAAAGTATTCACAGGCGCCGGTCTAATTGATGAGGTAGAATGCGTGTTAAAGACTTGTTACGACGACGACGAACCTCAACTTCTGTATCGAATTAATGAGAACCTCGTCGCCACTGCTTGGCACCCTGTAAAAAACGAGGCCGGTCAATGGACATTTCCAGCTGAATCGAGCTCAGCGAAGGCCATCACAGTCTACACAGAAGGCGTGTACACTTTCCTGCTCAAAAACAGAGGTACTATTTTACTCGGTGACACTGAATGCGCAACTCTTGCTCATGGTCTGCAAGGTGAAGTGATTGAACACGAGTTTCTGGGAACTGAGATTGTGGCAGCTGATTTGAAACGATTCGATCAGTTCCAATCTGGACTGGTAGAAGTGACACAAGAAGCGTTCCAGAGGAATCCAGATACCGGAAGAATCAATGCTATCAGGATGAATTAATTCATCCGCTTCAAAGACAAATCGCTTCCTAAGATGTATTTTTGCCACAAGTAATACTATTAATAAACTTTCATCTCAATTTTCGAGAAAATTACAGAGCGCAGATATCAACGTTTTTAAATTCAACGCATAAAAAAATAAGGATAGCTGGTTACTGTGCAAGCAGCACAGAATGTTCCAACTATAGCCTTTAAAAACAAAAACAATTTTTTTTTCAAATGTGTGTATCTTCTGCGAGGATCTGACACAAACTATAAAATAGGCATTTTTGACAGTCATAGTATTATAGGCAAAACGGACAAAAATTTTTGTTGAAAAATGACAAAAAACAAAGAAATCAAAAAAAAAATTATTGAATTTTTTTTTTTGAAGTTTTTGGTTCCCAAATGGCGCTAAAAACTCCAAAAACTAATTTAACGTGCTTGAAAACACGTTTTCAGGGCCTAAATTAAGCATAATTAGGCTGTTGTAAGCCTGCTCGCTCACTTTATTCGCTCAAAATAGAAATAAAAATCAAAAATTTCATACCAGTTTTTCTCAATGAGAATTTTTTTTTTATTTTAAAATCTCCTTCGAATCACGACTAAAAGGGCTTCAATTTGGTATAACCATTCCAATGATTATTTGTGGTACCTGATTTTGCGTTGAAAACAAAAAAAACTAAAACACACCCGAATACTAAGTTCCTCGACATTTTGCAAATGGTCGGGACAAAAACAATTTTTATTTCAGTAAACAGCAAATTTGATACAAAACGAGCAAAGTGGAGAGCAGCTAGCAAAGTGGGTGGCTAAACAAATCAAACATAGCCTAAAATATCCTAAAAAAAATCGTAAACGATTCCTGGAAAACATGACAAAACGATCCTTCCAATTTGTATGATTGCTCATTTCGGTAAATTTGTCTTTTGGTTTTCATTGGCGACTTCATGCCAGAAATCGCTTACTTCAAAATATACGCAACATTGAAAAACAATGGATCATATGCGTCAAACATATACGCTATTACCGCTTCTCAAATGACGGCAACACACCTAATAGCTGAACTCTGATACTGCAGACCTCAAATGCAACTTTATGACGCCATCGCCACCAACTCCAAACAAGCTTAAAGTCTACTTGACTTAAAAAAGCCTGCTGCTGAAAAAAAGCCTTCTGCTGAGCTAGAAAAACCAAAATGGCATACTTATGAGTTGGGATAGAGTAATTTCAGATAAGGTGCACCGTCTGCTCGTCACGCTATCTTATTTTCGGCCGGATAGATTCGTGCAAATTCTTAGTCTAATACCGATCTTAATTTTACTATTATATCTCTTAGTCTCAATAGATCTAGAGTATACTGGTTTGTTACGAGTCGGTCTCTTGGAGAAAGCAACTAGGTTGTAAGTTAAATTCAAAATGCTCTGGTGCTGAAATTACAAGTAATTTCAGCACTTACAAATAAGTGGGTTGTTAGTTTGATGGAGTGTGATCGGTTAGTCTTTAATAATTTAAAGGGATAAAATATCTAATTTATAACCAATAATAATATATAGTTTGGATCAGGTTCCACTTAGCTAAACTCAACGACATTTTCAAAATTTGATATCGGCTAAAACCTTGTATACGCCACTACTTGCATTTCTAAAAATTAGTGGCTAAGCTTAAATTTGAGGTAACTGTTTTATCATTTTTAAGATAATGTTGTGATGAATATGTTGAAATACTTTTTCTGAAGCCAATCGCGGTTTCCCTACCAAATCAAGAGAGTTACCGTTCATGCAGGGGAGCTTAAGCACCTGTTCTTTCGGTTGAAATCTTTATCTAAAATTTAGCAGATCCTTTTGGAGAAAACGGACAAGTCCAAAAGTGGGTCAAGGTTACCTTGGTCCCATGACTGTAGTACACAGAGAAGCTAATTTTTGCTTAAATAAATGGCTAAATTTTTCAAAAAAGGGGCAAACCTTCCCCCTACGCCCAGTTTAAAAAATAAATGACCATTCTCAGATTGAATTGGGATTCCCAGATTAAGCCGATTGAAAGATTCTCAAAACCGGGTTTCTCGATTGAAACCGAACACTTAACCTAATAATTGGCAGTATACTTCGAGAAAAATTAGAAAAATAATTTCCAAAAACTGTCAAAAAATCAAAAATTAGACTTTTCTGCGAATCGCACTTTTTTGTGTAGAATCATTTGGGCGTGGCCGCTGGACAGAATAAATTCACACAATCTGGTTGAACGCAAAAACTCAAAAATAATTCAAAATTCGAGACATAAAACCAAGTATTGAATTTTCCGAGGGCCATAACTTTTGCCTAAAACAATTGGTCGTAGTGAATATGTATCGGAGCTTTCCACAACCTGTTGTTTTGATTGAACGCATCATCTCAAAAAGACTCTTCCGAGGGCCATGAACTTTTGTGGAAAAATGTGGGGGCTAGCCGTTTATGCAACGGAGCTTCCCAAAACCCATTGAATCCAGATTTATAAATATAGGAGGTAATTTATTGAGAAAATGAAAAAATCCAACCAAAAATATGGGTAAAATCTTCCCCACAGACACTTTTGAAAGCTATAGACAGTAGGGTGAAGTGAAGAGACCAACAAATTCTACAGGCGCACAGAGGAGTAGGCGGTCTTTGCATTTACACAATTTTTTTGAAATTCGGTAGAGTAGTTTTCTACTGAATTAACATTTATGCAAAAATGAAACAACACAATATAATTTGTCGAAACAACACAATATAATTGACAAAGCCGGTACAACATCAGCCGAAATCATTTAGTAAAAAAAACATTAAAAACAAAAAAAATAATTCAAAATCAGACTTGGTAAAATGACAATTTACAGAGCTTTCCAATGTTATGCCGACTTAACAGAAGCAGACATATAATAAGCCGACAATTTTTTGCAAGGAAGAATATCCTGTTTGAAAAAAAGTCCTGGTCAGATTAGAACCCAGGACCTTTGCAGTCCCAGGCGTATTCGTTGCCTCCAGACTAAGCGTACCAGAGATGCGTACAAATTTGAACTCATTATGAACCAAGATACCAAGTGATTCTGTTAAGCACGTTGTTCATCCGAAGTCTATTCCGATTTGATAAGGCTTTCTAATCGCAAGCGTAATGAATTTCAAAAATACTTCAATAGTGTTCGACCTTCTAAAAGCGTGCACAACGATCCTTTATGGACGGTGATAAAGCCTGTTATAACCAAGAAAGAGAATAACTTTTCAATCACTATTTCCATTCCCTCTACAGCAATAATCAGTAAGAGCCAAAAATTGACACCGACAGCGGCAATGAGACCCTTTTCAGTCACTTCCCTTTTGACGTCGAGAAAGTAAGATTTTGTATATAAAAAAACGTAAATAAGTCGAAAGGCCCCGATAGAATGGGCAAGAATCTCAAGTTCCGTCTGAAAGTCACTGCTTTTTTTTTCACCACCATAGTCAACAAACAGCGTTTCCCCTCTAAATGGAAGACAGGTGAAATAGAACCAATTCAAAGAGAACGACAAACAACTTACCTCGAACAACGACCTACAAGTCTTATTATTGCTTGGGAAAAACTTTGACCAGATGTATTTGGCGGTTCGACCGATGCTGCATTCACTACTCGCAACATGGTTTCTTTCAAACAACAATCAACCTGATACGCCATCTGCATGAAATGTATCTACTCTTTGACAAGAACAAACAGTCTGAATCGCTGTACCTTGACTTTGAAAAAGCCTTCGATGAATTCAACCAACAAAAACTCGTCGAAAAGGTGGGGTTATTCAAGTTCGATGAGCCTTGCCTTGGACTGCGCAAAAGCTACTTGAGCAGCAGGTTCAACAGGTTCGTATCGGAAATTGCATCTTCACGAACTTTCAATAATTAATGAGGTTCCTCAGGGCTCTTTACTCGGCCCGCTAATGTTCAACATGCATGTAAATGACCAAACAACGACTGCAATGTCCATCTGCCACGCCGATGGCTACAAAGTTGTCTCAGACAAGGCTATGACGCTGAATTTAAATGCTAACAAAAATGGAATTTATGCTCAATTTGGTCTTTATATGAGCAAAAGCAAGTTCTCCAGTTGAAACGCAACACATCTGTTTTCATGACAAACAACATACCGAAAACAGACTCCATGAAAGATCTCAAACAAAAAAATGAACAAACTTGAACTGCAATCACAAGCCAAATCCAGATCCGCCACATCTTTGAAAGCCTTCTTAGCTCGCAAATAGCCCAGCAGTCAATAAAAAAAGAATGCCTATAGAGGCTACGAAGTGCCAATAATTAGCTATCGCGCGTCCTTGTGCAAATCGTCCAAGTTCGACCTAGCAGCAATCGAGAAAGGGCGGCGCCGAGCAAGTAGTTGAATCCTGGGCACAAATGAGCTCTATACAAAGCTCGATTGGGAAATGGCAATTTGGACCATTATCGCCATATCACGAGATGCAGGTGGTGCTACTTTTTGCTGAATTATTACCTCAAAAACTGATATTGACTGGTCAAACCTTGTTCAGGTTGCCAGAACTGGTGAAACAACATCCCATGCAGATCCTATTTATGCCAGCAAGTGCTTCTGTCTGCATAAATGTGGTCCAGATTTTTGACAAAAAGCCAGCTACCTTACAAATCTTTGAATCGTTATCAAAACCAAGATATCGTTATTTCGATGAAATGCGAGGAAATACTCACGAGAATCTATTGGCAATACTTCATGGAGAAATGGATCGACAGTTTCACCTGCACGTTATGTCGTGACTGCACAAACTTCATTAACTGTGTCATGCTAAATTTTTGAGATACCAAAAAAACTGACCGTGTCTTGGAAGCTACTCCAATGAATAATTAATCAAATCCATCATTAGCATTATGATTACGTACTTATTAACGCGTTATTTGAACAATTAGCTTTACTCAATTCAATTTCGAATGATTTATGAATCGGCATAAATTTCCGCCTGCGCTACATACAAGTTATTATATAAACTGCTAAATAGCCCGAATTATTTATCCAAAATAGCCCAACATTCATATCTCCTTAACTTCACTAAAAAAGATCACAGGCAAAAAATCAATTTCACTGCGAGCTAAAGGAATCAATTTATGCAAAATTAAGAAAGATCTCAGA